ACCCCCCCAAAAGAGACGAAACTAAAGCTGAGCAGCCTTTGCCTATCAATAAAAAACACTGCTTTGCTAAATCCAGCTGGACTTAATCACTCAAGCATTCAATGCTGCATTTAATCACAGACTAAGGGCATGGACAAAATTCTGAAATATTAATATGTATACGGATTAGAGTGAATTGTAAACTGGAAGAACAGAAATTGAGAACCAAACTAAAAATCGTATGATGCCACATTCTGTACAACATAACTAGCAGAATGAATAGACTCTTAACCTAATTTTTTCAAGAGTGAATGCATTAACAATCCAATGTTCATTGTGTCTCATCACCTAGAGGAACCCGAATCCGTCGGCATCTGGAAGCGGCACAGTGGACACAAATGACTCCTCTCCAGCCACTGAGCAATGCAATCGCCATGATAGACATGCGAACACGGCATGCATGTGGCTTCTTGCCCGACACAAAACTTTTCCAAACATATCATGCATTCTTCCATGGAACCCGAACCCTCCAGTCTGACCTTCTTCAGACCCTCGATGGACGATTTAGTGGCAGGCACAGCCTTGAACATATCTAATTCCATGGATTCTTGGATTGCCCTATTCACAGCTTGAGTTTCATCATGTGCCTCGTACTCGATCAGAATATCGGCAAGAACTATGGGAATTGCACCACCACTACAGGTACTAGAAGCTGGATCTACACCCATGTCCAGATAGAAAGAGGTGATGGCGTTTAACATCTGATCCTGATCATTGATGGGGATTCCCACTGCTGAAAGACAAAAAGATAAGAAGACCCGAGCCGAGTCTTCGTGCAGTAGCATCTCATGTAACAGAGTAAAAGCCTGCGCGTATTCAGGAAGTTCTTGCACAACAGAATCGTTGATATATGCACGTCGACGAATGCGGATTTGGAGGCAAAGCGACTCGTATGGTGGCAGACGCCGAGTGCCTAGTGGAAGAGCATCCCTGTCCAGTTGCAATGAGTAGTGGTTTGGCATATTGATTCTTGAAGAAAGAAGATGAACTAAAGAGATTGCTGGTTGTGAGAGATTGGTGGGCTGAGAGAGATTGTTGATTCTTGAGAGATGGGTGAGGAATGTTAATGGAGAATGGTTTCGTGTGAAAGATGTTAAGAGCAGACTTTGTATTATAGATTGGAATACGCGTAGAGGACTACCAGTTGAAATGAAAGAGGTCACTGTGTGTAGTTGTCAGTTTTGAAAAGAAACAAAAAGGTTTATAGACCTATTCAATAATTGAGATTGTCAAGTTCAATTTTTATGTCAAATTTTTAAATTTATTTAACATTATTCTTATTAATAGTGTTACTCGTTAATTTGACCCATAATTCGCACCAAATATATCATATTTCAAATATTTGTGTTGAATGCAACAATATCTAATTCATTTGTGATCGAAATAGAAATTTATACATATGATTTAGTTGAAAGATTATTTGATAAAATTATGAGATTAGATTGCATTTTCGGATCAAATTTGAATTTTATAATCAATTCCAATGTAATTTAAATTTTATAATCAATTCTAATGTGAAAATAAGATGATATCCGAACAAATTTCAATCAAAATCCTTATATCAAATTTTAAACCATTCAAAATCCAATCTATTTACAAGTCTCCAATCATGGGAGAAGTGGCGAATCAATAAGCTGGACTTGGTTATGCAACACAAAAACTCTAACTCTTGGCTTGCCAATAGAAATTCAAGTGAGCTCAGTCACTAGAATTGACATAGCAGTGTTGCATTATCAGAAAAATTCCACAAGTTACTTGGAACAGAAGGTACGGACACACGTATACTTAGATTTCCTTGTTTGCCTAGGATTGAAATGGATTCACGCGGTATCCTATTTCGATTTAAATGTTTTGTTTTACCCTAAAATTCTTGACCGCTAGCTCTATATATATGAACATAGTAGCCAAAAACCCTATTCATCCTATCAAGTAATCATGGCTTCCTACACTCCAAGAAGAATATACTTGATCCTCAACTTAATTGTCGTGATCATCACTACTATATTCTTCTTCACGTTTCACAATCCAACTTCATCTAACAAAGGAGAAAAGATGGCGGGTCGAGACTACGAGCGATCAAGAATGGAGCATTGTGTTGGGCTCTTCTTTGATCCTCCACCACCTCCAAGATCCGATGATGAACGCATGAAGAGTAAGGTGGACAAGAATCTTTGTAGAGACATGCTTCGTGCGGTTGGTGAGATACATAACAAATGGGGCGAATTACCCATCAATTATATTGAAGCCCTAAAAAAAGTTCATCGATTTAAGAAAAACTCAAAGGCTCTGAATGAGTTTCTTCATCGAAATCATCCCAGTTATGGTTTCACCTACCAAGTGTAATTCAAAGAGTCGTATGTTATTTTTTGAGGAACTTGGAGTGAATCGTCAATCATACATATTTTCTTGTGTAGAATTATACCTTATCTGATGAAAGATGTAAATTTATATCAGATTTTATAGAGACGAAAACAATTTGTAGTTTTGGATTGTTAAATATGTGTTGCTCATTCGTGATGTTTATGTTTCTTATTTCAATTATTTGTGAAACGTTAATGCTTTGCTTTAGCTCCACAAATATCTGCATCAAGATTTTCAACCGCCCTTTTTATTGTCATAACCATCACCATGGTAATGGTCATCTCATCAAACATCCAGATACATCTAAACAAAGAAGAAGATAGGACTATGATATCAAAACATAAAAACTTTGGTATATTTTAATTAATGAAAAACTTTTAGTACGTTATAAAAAAAAAAAAAACTTTTTAGTATCGTAATGAAACCCAAAGAAAAAAATAAACATCTAAGGCCAACGTGACAAATGATCACAAGTGGAGTGCTGTGTGATGCTCTTCCACAGATCCTAGCATCATGATCTCCACAATACGGTGAATACGGAATTTTGAAACCGACTATGTGGCAACCATATATAGGAGTAAGTACATTTGCGTAAGTGCATCAACTTGCTTGACGAAAAAATGGCTCCCCTGTTTTGTCCGTCGTTCTCACCTTGAACCAGAAGCACCATTGTTGAGATCTCCTTGTTCCTTTCTCTTGTCTGTTAGAGATAGTTAGTAATGTAAAGAATCCCACATTAAAAATGTTGAAAGGGAATGTAAGGGTTTAAAAGGAGAAACACACCAAATTTTAGAAATTTGGATGGTGGGAAGATTTAGAGGGCAGCTCCAAATATTTCAAATCAATGAGCCTTAATTAAACTTTAAATAAAATAATCTTTAAAGTCAAAAGATGGGCTTGAAACCTTTAAATAATTAATTATTTTTATATTAATTAATTGCTAAATGTCTTTCGGTCCAAGAGTTGTGTCTCTTCTTTACATTTCTTTGGCCTAAGAGTTGTGTCTCTTCACTAAGGTATTATAAATACCTGTATAGATATTTCAATTGAAGTATATACAAAAAAAAGTTTCTCTATTCTGTTATTGGGAGAATTTTAGAGTTTGCTATTTGAAATTTTGTTTGGCTTTGGCTTTGGCTTTGTTTTTTTTTTTTCGGAAGGTAAAGTGTATTAAATAAAACAGAAATACCAAGGGTGATCACCCCCAAAATGTACAATGAAGTCACGTAAGACTCAAAAACAAACATCAAATCCAAAAAGCCAAGGCTTAAAAACCCAATTCTGAAAGAGCTGCCCTAAGTAAGGGTATCTCCCCCAAAATTGTTGACAAGAGTACAATGGTTAACAAAAACAAAACATGATCTCAATTCATCCAACAAGATAGCAGATGCCCTGAGCAAGAGAAACTCCCATTGAAATGCATGGTAGCAGACCAATCCAGCCATTTGCAGTAGCAAATTCAGCGCCAACTCAACACACCATAGCAAGCCAACACACCAATAAAATTAGCACCAGCAACAACAGGTAACAAGCAGACAACCCCAACGAGCAAGTAAGCCAGAAAATATCGTACAGAAGTGAGGATGAAATCAGTACCAAAAAATTCAGCCCAACACACCAATAAAATCAGCACTAGCAACAACATGCATCAAGCAGACAACCCCAACGAGCAATTACGCTAGAAAAAATCGTACAAAAGTCAGGATGCAAGGATAGCATAGCCAACAAAGGATTCCCAACAAAGCCATTTGCATTCCACATGGGTGATGAAAGGATGAGAAGGAACATCAGAGAACTTAGACCCTTATGCAGGAACTAGGAAGTTGCCATATATGAAATAACCACATGTTCAATTGAGAGGAATTGAACTTGGCCGAAGACATTTGTCCCTAACTGTCTGCACAATGAGGTTTAACAAGGACTTGTAGTCTCTCACTTGGTTTTGATGGATTCTGTTATTCCGTTCCCTCCATATAAAATACACACTCACTGCCAAACAAAGTCTTCTCAACACACTCACCATGGACTTACCCTTCCAAATTTGGATCACATGACTTACCAGATGCTGCCAAGAGTTAAGTTGTCCCTGCTCACCAGTGAGCTGAAGCAAATTTCTCCATATGCTCCTTGAGTAATGACATTCAAAAAATAAATGAGAATGGGTCTCATCAGCTTGTCTACATAGAACACATTCCATCCCCATATTGTTTGTATAAACTTGAGTTCTATCCTTTGTGCCAAGCCTTGTTCTAATGGCTAGCCAAAGAATAAAGCTCATCCTAGGAATAGCATGACTATACCACACCAAATGAACCCAAGGCACTTTAGGAGAATGAACTCTCACTTGATTCTAGGCAGAGATTGAGGAGAAAGTGTCATTTGGGGTAGGAATCCATTTAAAAACATCCCATCTTTGTTGACATGGTTGGTAGGAGGGCATGGTTTTTTTAATTTCCCGAAGCTCAAAGGTTCCTGTGTGAGGCCAATGCCATAGATTATTCCTTATAATGCTGCTAACCTAGAGGAATTTGTCATAAACCCAACAACAACACAGTGGGGGCATAATTTCCTTAAGGACAGTGAATACACGATCAAAGCCTTCTAATTTAGTGAAATCCTATTTTGCTAACATTGTCTCCTCTTAACCGAATCCCCGTTCTTCTTTTTTCGGTTGCCTGCCCACCTTCATAACCCTATTGTACCCTTTCCCTTTTTTACTTAGCTACTATGATTCAACCATTCCCTTTACTTTCCACATTTACTCCTCACCTCTGACACCAAAATCTCAACTCATACACCAAATCCCTCTCTCAGCTATTCCCCCAACTTCTAGATCTTTTCTCAAATCACCCGATCTGTCACCCATTTTGCATTAATGACCTACCCAACCATTTCCCCTCCATTACTAACACCCCTTAACTAACCTATTTGTCAACCTACATTCTGATGGATTCATTCAATGAGTCACCAAATCCAAACAAAAATCAAGACATTAACCCCTCTTTGATGTCCGTTGAAGAAGCAGGTAAAAGGAAATCCAAGGCCATAGCTCAGCTGGACCTACACAAAGGGGCACCATCGCCAGAGAATAACAGTCAACAGAAACAAGGTCCACCCAAGGAGTCTTGGAGCCAGGTTGTGAAGGCAGGCAAATGAGGTAACCCTCAAGAAGGAAAACCAGCTAATGGGGGGAAACAACCAATCAAGAGGTTAAAGTATTTCAAACCTTGCAAAGAAAATGATAGAATTGTTGTCAAACCACCATCAGAAATCAGAAAACAGGGATGCATTGAGTGGCAAAACTTCCTTGTAGGGTATTTTATAGAGAGAAAATTGCCTTATTCCACAGTTAGTTTCATTGCTCACAAGGTTTGGGATAGGATGGGTTTACTGGAGGTCCTTGCAAATGGAAATGGATTTTACTATTTTAAGTTCATGGATGATGAATCCCAACTAAGGTGTTTGAGGCTGGCCCCTGGTTATTTTCAGGGAGGCCACTCATATTGAAAAAGTGGACTCCTGATTTGTTATTTACCAAAGAAGATCATTCTACCATCCCTCTTTGGGTCAAGCTTTATAATATTCCACTGCAATTCTGGAGTGTGGATGGTCTTCGCCATATTGCTAGTGCAGTTGGTACCCCATTGTATGCTGACACCATGACTACCAATAAAAAGAGACTTAACTTTGCAAGGATATGCATTGAGGTGAGTGCTGAAGCCAATCTTGTGGAGGCATTTGATTTGAGGATGGATATGGAAGACAAAATAGAGACGGTAGAAATAAAGGTGGAGTACCAATAGAAGCCTAGCGTCTGTCATTCTTGTAAAGTGTTTGGTCACAAAGAAGGTTATTGTTCACAAGTAGGTGCTAGTCACTCTTCTCATACAAAGCCGTTATGAATAACACTAGCAACAAGGACAAAGGGAAAGCCATTATAACCCCTTTGGGGGATGTGGGAGGTGCCATGGAGGTTCCACAACCTGGGAAAAGCCTACCCCAAGTGGGAAATATGGATGCCAGCAGCAGCAGTGCCATCAAGTCTGTTAACAACCAGTGTCCAAATGGGCCATAAGATGAAACCCAGGTGACCACTAACATTCTCACTACTATAATTGTTAGTGATAAGAATCATACAGAGCAATCTGCGAAGCCAATTTAGTCCCCTAACAAATTTGGAAGTTTAAATTTGGAAGGAGGGGAAATTGTTGTGGATTTATCCCCAGTCCCTTGTACTAATAGTGGTGACACTGCTATTAACATGAGACAAGTGAATGAGGTTGTATCCATTGGGCATGAACCTGAGGTTGAGAACTTGCCTGAAGGGGAACATAAAAAGAAGAAGGTAAAGAAGAAAGACAGTAAACTGGGGAAATGAAAGGTGTTGGAGCACCTCAAAACCAAAAAATCTCTATTATTATGTTAAAAGTATCTTGTTGGAATGTGAGAGGGTTGAATAAACCCTGGAAGCAGGGAGAAGTTAGGAAATTTATCAGGGATCAAAACTTGGACTTATTAAGTCTAGTGGAGACCAAGATTAGAAGCGTTAATAAGGATGTGGCTATGAGAAATGCGTATGGACAATGGGAGCATGTGGACAATTACAATTGCCACAACAGAAGAAGGATTTGGGTTGGGTGGAAACCTCATACTTTGAGAGTGAATAAAATCTCTGCTACTGAGCAAGTTATCCATTGTTTTGTTAATCACTTGGAGACAAATGACTATTTTTTTGCCTTTGTTGTATATGGATCTAACGAGGAACAAGATAGAAGACACCTTTGGGGGAATCTGGTTTACCATGCTGGAATGTTTGCATCCTTACCATGGACAATTCTTGGGGATTTCAATGCTATTAGACACACTCAGGAATCAATGGGCTGCTCTGGTAGGTGGTGCCAGTCCAATGAAGACTTTTTTGAAGATTGTCTTCAATGTGCTGAATTAGTGGATCTTAAGTTTTCTGGGTGCCTTTTTACATGGAGTGACCGCAGAATTGAAGCTTGGAGTATTGTCAGGAAATTGGATAGGGTTATGGTAAATGAAGAATGGAATATCAGATTTCAACAATTAGAAGCTGTGTTTTTGCCACCAGGAATGTCGGATCATAGTCCAGCTCTGCTTAAGATTGGTCAAGAAATAAGGAAAAGAAGGAGTCCTTTCAAGTTCTTTAACTTCATGGCTGAGAGGCTAAACTTTCTACCTACGGTTGATCTGATTTGGAGGGAACCCATCCAGGGAACTCAACAATACCAGGTGTGCTGCAAATTGAAGAAAATCAAGGATTCCTTCAAGGCAAAGAGCAGAGAGCTTGGTGATATTTCAGAGAGGGCGAAGGAAGCAAAAGAGGCCGTGGAAAACTGCCAGAGAAGGTTAGCTACTGATCCACTTAACAATAACCTGAGACTTGAGGAGAAGCAACCTCTTGCCACCTACTCAACTGCTGCTAGAAATGAGGAATCCTTCCTTAAACAGAAGTCCAAGGTTTTGTGGTTGAAAGGTGATAGAAACACAAGTTACTTCTTCAAAACCATAACAAAGCGAAGGAATAGAAAGAAGATTTTATCCCTGCAAATAGAAAACGGTGAGCTTATTGAGGGAGAAAGGGCTGTTAAGAAGGAAGCTATTTCTTTTTACCAATGACTGCTAGGTACCAAGAGTCCTACATTAAACTCACAAGATAGGAGTAGATTACTGGAAAGCATTGTGCAACAGAAGTTATCATAACAACAAGCGTCTGATATGGTTAGGGATGTTACTTCGGAGGAGAGGAAGTCTTTTTCTCCTTTAATGACCACAAGGCACCTAGATCAGATGGTTTCAATGCCTATTTCTACAAGAAAGCTTGGCCTGTTATTGGAGGGGACATCACAGCTGCCATAAAAGAATTCTTCTCTAGTGGGATCCTGTTGAAGGAGTTCAATGCCACAATCATCACATTGGTTCCTAAGTCTCCTAATGCATCATGTATAGGGGAGCTTAGGCCTATTTCTTGCTGCAATGTGTTCTACAAAGCTATTTCAAAACTTATTGCTAATAGAACCAAAGGTGCATTTAAGGATATTATTAGCCTTAACCAATCAGCATTCATCCTTGGTAGAAGAATCAGTGATAACATTCTTTTGTCCCAAGAGATAATGAGGGATTACCATAAGGATGGAGGGTCGCCCAGATGCACTATCAAGGTGGACCTTATGAAGGCCTACGATACATTGGATTGGGACTTTATGATGGACACCTTACGTGCCTTTAATTTCCCAATTATGATGAGGAAGTGGATATGGTCCTGTCTTACTTTTACTAAGTTTTCAGTTAACATTAATGGCGAACTTGAAGGCTTTTTTCCTAATGCGAGATGATTGAGGCAAGGGGATCCTATTTCCCCTTACCTCTTTGTTATGGCCATGGAAGTGCTTACACTGATTGTTCAACATAACATCAGATCCAACAAGAAGTTTAAATTCCACTGGAGGTGCAAGAAGATGAAACTTTGTCAGCTAATCTTTGCTGATGACTTGCTGTTGTTTTGTCATGGGGATGTTAGCTCTGTCTCTACATTGAAGATGGTTGTTGACCAGTTTCAGCAGGTGTCTGGGCTACAAGCCAATCCTACCAAAAGTAATATGTTCATGGCGGCGGTCCAACCACAAGCTATGGAACAGATCAAGCTAATTTTTGGTGTCCCTGTAGGCAACCTTCCTATCAAATACCTGGGTGTGCCTATCATCTCTACTAGATTGAAATTCATTCACTGCACAACCCTCATTGAGAAAATTGAAAGTAGAGTGAAGGGGTGGACCAATAGATTCTTGTCTTATGCTGGCAGGTTGCAGCTCATCATCTCTGTCCTCTCTAGCATGCATATTTATTGGGCTGCTCACCTTTTCTTACCACTACAAGTTTTGGATAGAGTTGAACAAATCATGCGTGCTTTTTTGTGGAAGGGGTTGAACTCAAAACTACTGGGGCCAAAATTGCTTGGAATGATGTGTATAGGCCAAAGCAAGAAGGAGGTCTAGGGATTAAATGCTTGAAAATTTGGAATGCAACACTTATGATGAGGCATTTATGGATTCTTTTTGAGGACAAAGAGAACCTATGGGCCAAATGGATTCACACTTACCAGTTAAAGGGGATGAGTCTTTGGGAGGTAAGGCCATCAAGCAATAGTTCATGGAATTGGCAAAATATGTTAAAGCTGAGAGACCGGATTAGACCTCACTTGATCCACACAATTGGGAATGGAGAGTCGACAAGTCTATGGTATGACAATTGGCACCCAAGATGCCCTCTTATTTTGAGTTGGAATCATAAAATTATCGCTAATTCTAGTTTACCGAAGGATGCTAAAGTGAGCAGGATTATTTTTTACAACAAGTGGCAGTGGCCGCAAACTCCTTCTACTGATTTATGTGATATTTCTTGCTCTATGCCTTCCTATGCCCCAAACCAGGCCAGAGTGGATGGTGTCAAGTGGGCTCCTACTGTCAATGGCATGTTCTCTGTTGCGTCTGCCTGGGATGTCATTAGGAACCCAAACCCAAAAGTGCCATGGTTTAAGCTGGTTTGGTTCACACAAGCTGTTCCTAGATTGAGTTTCATTTTATGGTTGGCTATTAATGGGAGACTCAGTACTAAGGATAGGATTTTTAATCCTAGTGTGGGTGGGAATTGTATTCTGTGTAGAAGTGTTGCTGAAACACATGCTCATCTGTTCTTTGAGTGCACTTATTCTCACAGTGTTTGGATTCAGCTATAGAACATGCTCACTCAATCTTGGCAACCCAGGACATGGCTGGTGTTTATTGCTTGGGTTGCTCAAAACAAGAAAAGTAATTCTGCTTTGACAGTGCTGCAGAAACTAAGTCTCCAAGCCACATTGTACTGCCTTTGGAGTGAAAGAAACAACAGGTTATTTAGGAATGAATTTAAAGATACTGAGTCTACTCTGCACAACATTTTGCAGATCATCAGGGATAGGATGGTGTCTTTGAAATTTAGGAACTCATATCATAATCAACGAGTGGCTCAATAGCGGCAGTTACCAACCCATTGTCTTAACCCATGATTCTTCTTTGATTATACAGTCCCCTGTTCATGGTGGCCTGTTATTGCATTCTCTGTTTTCCCCTAGAGTTAGGATTCTACTGAAAGTA